TGTGTATGCTGTCAAAGGCCATTTCAAAATCGACAAAGTTGATGTACAACTGCCTCTGCCACTCTGTGCACTTCTCAATAATATTTCGTAAGGTGAAGATGAAGATCTAGTCTATACACTCTTTTACTCTCCGAAAACCTGCTTGTTCTTTTCTTAAGTTTCTGGTCCACTGCTTCTGATATTCTTTTCATGGTTGTCTTTACCAGGATTTTATTTGGAAATGACACTTGTCAGTGATTCTACTCCAGTTGTTAAGTTGTTTCAACTGTTCGCCTAGTTTCTATGCGAGGGCCCTAACCGAGTCTTTAAACTCACTACGATTCGTAAGCAGCTGGTATTTTTATACATTTTATTTTACACATTTTTTCATCTATTTTTTACCAGTTTAAAAAATATAGGCTCACTGGAGACTTCATAACTTGTCTATTTCTTACACTACATACCAGCGACTCCCCCCCCCCCGAATAGAGACTAGGCGTACAGTTGACTATAGTTTCTGGGCTCTCTGTGGTCGTACGTGTATATCTCACGTCTATAATACAAACATGGACTATGGATACTTTTATAGTAACCAACTTCATTCTCAATATGCTTACCATGCGCGTGTCCAGTTTATCCCGTTCTTCCAAGACACTCTCTAGTTCCAAAATCTTCTGTATAAAGATATAAACCAAACGATATAATGTGTGAACTGTACTATGGTTCTGTTCATCGCAGATATATCCTGTTAACTAATATATTCTTTATATTATATATATATTTGTTCTCTTTGACTTACCTTAGTTTTCACTGACAACACACCCTTCAAGTGTTCGCACACCAATTTATAGTCTATTACTTTATGAGTATCATTCATCGAATCTATACTTCTAATAAGGGATTTAAATTACAATTACATGTGTGAAAATCCAGGTTTATATTGGAACTTTCAAAAACTACATAGATTTCAACTGCTTGGGTGTTCCTTTTAGATTATTTATTGTATTTTACCCTTCGCCATTTCAGCATGGTGAAAACTGTAATTGAGAATTAAAAAGTCTACTTATTATGAAACTTACTCATCCTTTATGGTGGAGTAATATACCGTTTCATTTTCATCGCACTTTACAGTACTTTCTGTTTTAAACTGAAGGGGTTCGTATATATGAGCATCTGTAATTACAAATAATTAAGTTGTGAATTAGACATTGTCAAAGATATGAGATACAGGCAGCTCAAATATGACCAACGTTTCGAGAATACTAGTGTAGGAGCAATCTGGTCTTTAATTTACTTCTTCTTCTTTTTTTTAATATGTATTCAATGATTTATATTCCTATACTTTATTTTGTATTTTTACTGTATTATATGCTGTCAGTATAGGGGTATAAGAGTATGTTGCAATAGCTAAAAAATAGCACAAAATGCGATGTGTGTAATAGTAATAAAATATAATCCCAAAAAATACACGCTTGAGAGTAGGGTGATACTGTATGACGGAGTACTTACCTGTTTGATCTTCCCCTGTATATTTACTGCACATGTCTGCGGTCTTCAGTCTACCTACAATTCGATTTATAATAAGAACCGAATGAATTATATCTGATAATACAATTACTGTCAGGTTTATAGAAAGATGCCATTCTAGTGTATGATAATGTTATATTCCATCATTATATCTTGTACACATGTAAAGAACGAGTTTTTGAATACCATGTTTAAATCGTTAGGTTTTCCAGCATGTGAGCCAACTTGTAGGCCGAACTATGCCTGGCATATCCTCGCGAAATATTTCTTGGCAAATACCTTTACCTTGATAAGAATTGCCCCAGGTATGTAGTACATCTTCCAATGGCTGTGGGACAGCCTGCATCGAACTGGGTAATTTCGACGCCCCAACATCTTTAATATTCCAGGTGGAATTGACAGATTTGTATAGCGCTTTCATAGCGCTGAACACGGTCGTCACATCAGTATCGCGGGCTGTGATTTTAAACACTTGAAGCGGTGTTGCTAGCGGAATTGATAAGACCTCATCATGAAATGGTCTTGTTGCGATGACGTGCTTTTCTGTTGCGACACTTTTTAACCTCAGAATCTTGCCGTTCATTTTGTCATCTTTCTCTGAGCATGAGTCTGATGGGATTTTAACTCTCTGTGTAGAAATGTACAAATTAAAAAATAACGTCAATTACTCCGAATCAATGACAATTGTTTTTTTCGCTGTTTGTAAAAATGTTGAATGTTTATGGCTTTTGTATTACGAATGATAGCCAATCGATTGATCATATTTAGACAAAGTTTAATTATATGTTCATGTGGGATACCCAGTCACGTGTTAAGGTAAATAATAAATAATAAAATCCAATGAAAATAACCCCTTTTCCCATATCGTACATTCAACTGTTCATAAATCTTTGAAAATAACAGCCAAAATGTCTTTACAGTAAAAATTAATTCCAGCTAAAATAAATATTTTTTTTTAGTATACCATATTTTCCAGAATGCATTGCGCGATATGAATCGCTGCTATAGGGGTTGTTCAGACTGCCAGCTATATTTGTTTTCGCAAGCTCTAAAATTTGTGTAAATTACAAAAAGTAATTGTCATTCATAGTTGTCCCGAATTATTGGGAAATTCCGAAGAATACCAATTATTTTTTATGAAATAATGCTTTGACAGAATTCTTATGAAAAAAGTTCAAACGGTAAAATGTTATTTTACCAGCAACATTTACCAATGCAAGTGGTGATTTTACAAGTACAAATGGTGATTCTTAATACGAATATAAATAGTGGTTTCACGAATACAGCTGTAGATATTACAAATAAAATGAAAACATGTCATTTATAAATATGAATTTAAGTCCTTGCACATAAATATTTGTAATGAACTATGCAACATTCGGCCTTCCATAAATACTGCAACACTCGATCTCCAATGGCCCACAGTGACGTGTTCTTACTAACCAGTGGAAGTTTTTCTTTGATAAGTTCTGGCAGTGGTTTCAGAGATACGGTTATGTTTGTGCTATATTCTCCGGATTCCTCTGTCTCCGATAAACGTATGGTGTAATTATTCTTGTTGCATACCAATAGTTGCTGCGAAAAAAACAGGTGTGCCATTAGGAAGCAGAAAATCATCAGAAGAATTTTTTGATTGGATTTGGGTAATCATCATTAATGTGAAAAGACTGCACTATATGTTACGCATTGATTACCTGTGATCTCATAGTAAAATGATACACCACAAAATGGTTAAACAATAAAATTAGTTAGTTACGGCTGGACAGGCAAGGGTAACACATCGCACCAACCTGGGAACGTTCAGCCGTGGCATATTACATATACAAGTGTGGAAAACGCGTATTGCGACTAGAATGCCACCTACACGATCTCAAGAAAGCACCTCTCCAAAGCCAACGCCCCCAAACTCAATCCGTGCTCTATCATCCGATAATTAGGTCGTGAGGTAAGTACTCAAAGATCCTCACCAAATCCCAGCATATGCCTAACACAATGGACAGGAAATAATCCCAATAGTTTGTGTACTTTTTTTTCATTGACATCCTGGAAATATATATTGTCATACTTAATGTACGTAATGGATCAAGACTAAAACTAAAACAGCACACCCTTTAAAAACCAAAGGCCGTGTTACATAAGATAATTCATAAAGCAACGCTTCGAGCATCGCAAGAGGCAACGCAGTTGCTTCACGTGCTGCCTCGCGTAACGCGGCTTTAAAACAAAATGGTTGTACCAAAGCAGTATAATTACAACACCAAATTGTATTGTTTTATGATCGAATACCAGTGAAAATATCTTATTATGCCATCGAAAGACAAAATAAATCCTTAGTTGGGACAAGTAAAATAACGATTTGAACCATTCATTGTTATACAGTGCAATGGTCAATACTAATACGTAAATTAATCCCAGAATACATACATACTTTAACACCGTCGACTTCTTCAACTCTGTTCACTTCGATGACTTCGTCGCAGTCTAGTAACTTACAATGTATTGTAGATGGCCTTTTAGTTACTCGTAAATACTGTGGCAATGGACAATCTTCAATTATTTCACGAATGCTTGTATACGACCTATCATCATGATGTGAATCTATAATGTATAGAATCATACAAACGTAGCTTTGTTATTGGTCATTGTGCTGGATTCTTTGCAATCTTTATATTTTGACATATGCTAATGTTCACACATACTCGTTATTGATATTTGGAGATGTTTTATTTACACGTATGCACAGAGCAGCATCAGTTCCCCTATGGTGATCTATACACTATCCTTGTGAAATCTTTACACATATATACAATAAATTTGCATAATTAACCATGCATGCCAATTAGTGTTAACACGTGTCATTATATTTTACTTTTACAGAACAAAAACCATTACACGTAAGCGAGATGCTAGGCTGTATTGTTCGAGTTACGGACATCGGGTTACAAAAAGGACCACGCCCAATTGTGCGAAACCACGCCCAAATTGTAACTCGATATTCAATCAACAGTTACCTGAACTTGAAATTATGGGCAATAAATGTATTGTTTTGTTGCACATCATATGTTTCCCGTCACTCGAAGTTCGGTTAACTGTTAATTAAAATTCGAGTTACTAAATTTGAACATTAAATAAAACTCTGTTTGGTTAACTCGAAC